ATGTCAATATAAGTAGCCATAGTAACTGTACCAAAAGAAAAACCAAACAAAAGCAAAAGAACATCTAAATGCAAAAAAAGAAAGAAAAGAAAACCAAAGGTTCTGTTCATAATAGGAGTTTTGTCATTCCACCTAAAAGCTACCTGTCATAGGCAAATTCTTCTCACTTTATAGATTAAAATAAATCCAGCACTTCCATGTTTAATATTCAGGTTGGTGTATGAAGATCTCAGGTTGAACTGGTAGACAGCAAGGGACAGTGCTAGTTTGGGTTGATGAACACTGGATGCAAAGGAAGCCTAAAGGATTCAAGTCAAAGCCTCCTCTGGCTCTGAAATGGTGGGCAGTAGGATTTCTTTTCTCCTATTGATAAACTGCTGGCCTGAACAATACCTCTCTCTCTCTCTCTTACTGACACACTTCCAAGTTCTATTAAGTGTTCTAAGCACCAAGAGTGAATACTCCATAAATAACAGGCATGATAAACCCTCACTACAGCTTTGGCTTTCGGAGGACTTATTGAATGTCAGGCACTGTGCCATGCAGAATTCAGCCCAAGAACATAGCTCCTCAATTTGGATGGACTGTAGTATTAGAATCCCAGCCTCAGCACTTACTGGTGTTGTTAATAAATAGCCAGCAAAACCTCACTAACTCCCAGATCCCTCATCTGTCCATGAAGGAAATAATTCCTTATCTTACAAGGTATAAGGATCAATTAAACAGAATCATGGGCATGCTCTATTTAAACTGTCTGGCCTCAGAGATTTCTCAATAATAAAATTCATTTTATTCGTGAATTGGTTCGTCACACAATACTTAGGAATAATCTCAAAAAGTCCAGTTGAACTAGTTATTCCAGTTCTATAAATAATGAAAGTGATTTGGCCAAACACATAAAGGTAGGAATAGATACATTGTTTAACATTGGTGTTGGTTATGTAGATATGACCCCCACTAACATACAAATGGATATTTTATAAAAACAGAATCTCTGTAGGAATTAAATGATGAAATCCTACAATTTAAGTCAGCAATGGAGAAGAGAAATGATGATCTGCTATATATATATAGACCAAAGATAGAGGTCAGCCTTTTCTAAGTGAACTACTGCTTTGCCATTTAACACTTGAGTGACCACAGTTACATGAATATTTAATTTTTAAATTAATACTTACACTATTTGTTTATGAAATAATATCCACCTTAAGGTTGATTGTCTTATGCATGCAAAAAGAAACTTGGAAAATTGTTTAGCATATAGTAAATCCTAAAGTGATGTAACAGGTATTATGGCTATTTCTCTCTATCACATAGCAATATGGCAGGAAATATACGAAAAACCTAATGTCTTCTAATTCTTATACTGGAATCTTCTGAATGTCATTGCAAGGGTAATATTAATAGCTATTATAACTACATACTAGCTGTGTGCTGTCTGCCATGCTAGATGCTGGTTATTGTTTATATATTCTCTCTACTCTTGTCAATAACAATGTGAGATATACATGATCACCTCTGTTTTATAGATAAGGAAACTGAGGCTGAGAGCTGTTAAGAGATTGTCAGGGTAAAACTAAAAGGAAGAAGGAAATAAGAGAGATTGTCTTCAGAGCCAGTTCGGCTGAATCCCCAACCTCGTCTTTCTTTTCTACCTCCTGCTGCCCACATAGCTCAGTAACATAATGAAACTGCTTCACCCTAGCTTCAGCTTGGGCAGGGAATCAAGGAGATGACAATGACAGTCTGCTTTCTTTTTCTGGCCTAGCTTCACATAATACCTCCTCCTTGCATTAAACTTGGAGATACTGTCAGATGATGCATCATTTGGGGACTAGGAAGCTGGTTAATTCAGGACTTAATAAGCTTTAGGGAGCACATGGTTTCACCCAGGTAGATGTGCACTGTGTAGGTTGCAAAGGCTGATTGCCAGCTGATTCTCCTAAGTGAGCCAGCAGAAAGCTTGTGCTGAGAAATAGGAAAGCTTGTAGTCCTGCCACTCCACACAGTTTTGGAGACTGTGACTGGTTGATTTACAACCTTTCACAAAGCAGTTCAGATCTTCATGGAGAGGGTAGGGACCCCTCCATGAGCCACTTGATATGGACTTGGAGTCTTGGGGGATGCCTGATGTCAGAATTACCCTGTATCCATATCCATTGCTAGCCATATAGCCATGAATAAGTCTGCTATGTCTCAGATTTCCTGTCTGTGAAATGGGAAGATACAGTTTGGGCAACTGGAATGAGATTTTGCACAGTTATTTGTTGAGTTGTCTGTGACCAAGATAGGAAGGACAGACTCTTGGTGACAGAGGGACCCGGTGGCTTCTCAATCCCTGATGACTAAGGGATTGAGGACAAGTTCTAGCCTGTTGTGGAGCTCAACCGATCGATCTATGAAGTGGAAAAGTAAGATAGATCAGAATATCACAAACTTTTCAACTGAAATATGTCTGATAATAAAAAAAGCAAATGCTCTTACAAGCTCCTCTACTCAAAAAGCGTAGTATAGTTATACAGTAAGTGTGTGTGCAATATCCGATTTAAAGATGATATTGACAAGGTAGACAGAGGTTAACACTGTGGCTATGAGAATACAAGAGATGGAAAAAGGAGTTACTTACTACACAGGCCCTTGGGCTGGAATCTGCACTATGACCTTCCTATCTCCTACCTTGAGATAGCGAGCATCCTTCCCAGAAACTGGTTCCTACTCTGAGATGCTGGCTGCCATCTTTTGGTTCGGTGCCTTGAAGACATGATTCTCCTCTGGTGGGGAAGGAATATGGGGAATGGGGGGTTGGGAGGTTAGGGAGCAGACTAGTAGACGACTAGGTGTTATTTCAAGGGCAAGGAGGTTCTAGACCCTGCCAGCTCCCTTATTCCCGACTCTGCAACCAAATCCTGAGTTGCAAAATAAATTTCAATGACATCTGGGTCATGGTGACTTGTACTTTTCTTTTTTTTTTTTTTTTTGTCGGTCGTGGGGCTTGAACTCTGGGCCTGGGCGCTGTCCCTCAGCTCTTCAGCTCAAGGCGAGCGCTCTATCACTTGAGCTACAGCGCCACTTCCGGTTTTCTGGTGGTTTATTGGAGATAGGAGTCTCACGGTCTCTCCTGCCTGGGCTGGCTTTGAACTGCGATCCTCAGATCTCAGCCTCCTGAGTAGCTAGGATTACAGGCGTGAGCCACCAGCGCCTGGCTACTTATACTTTTCAACCTGACCTCATTCAGCAAAAAAAAAAGAAAGAAAGAAATGCAAGGGACATCATCCCGGGGTAACCGTGAGACTTAGTGAGACCAACACTGAACTTAAGAGGCAGGAAGGGCACATCTAAGACTCATTTATAATTGAGATAATCCAATGTAGGTTACTGGGTTATAGGAAGAATGTGTGTTAAGTAAGTGCCATACACAATGCTGAAAATATCTGATAAATATTAATCAAAATGGAATCTTTCTCTGAACCCTTAAGGGCAGAAGAGCATTTATACCCTGTGTCAATTCGGTTTAACATCAGATCCACATATATATATGGAAAAAGTCTATCACACTGATCCCATGAATAACACAAAGGCCTTGATTTGTTCTTCCACGTGACAAGCATGTGTTAGGTCCAAAATTAACATTGCTATCTAGCTGGGATATGTGTATGTTTCTCCAAAAAAGAGAAGAATTTCAAGATAATGCTCAGCTCTAATCAGAATATCTACTGCTAGTTAGTTGAAGAGGAACAAGGAAGAGATATAAAAATTCTAAGATGGTTTCCACTGCAGAAGGCTAATAAATATTGACTCTTGATGGAAGGAAGAAATGAAGAAACACTTACACAAATCATTTCATCTCTCTGAGCTCTCAATTCTTACATAGGTTTGGAGTATAACTTCCTACTCTCACACATCTGGTCAAGCTGTGATAAAGGAGAGATGGTCAAAGAAAATAATGTATTTATTGGTTTGAGGGGTATCACGTAGTGGGATAGCAGATGTCACCATTTTATAAGCTCATCCTGAGCCCATTAGATCCTATACTTTTGGCATTCTAGCTTGGTTTGTTAGCTGATTTTCTATTTGCTACAGAAAGCCCTTAGTTGCAACTTTATAAAGAAATCTTCCAGGCTGCCAATTGAATGATCTCAACCCTAGAGGCCTTCTCGGAAGAGGCAGCACACTCCTGGAGCTCTATGTCCCAGGTCCAACAGAGCCAGAAGTCTATCTCACCACTCTGCTTCCGTAACTTTACCTTGAATGTGGTGTCTGGCTGCCTGATGTCACACAATCTCAACAAGAACAGAGTTGAGATCATTTCCATAAACATGCTAGGCACAGTCTTTGATATATGATAAATACTAAAGAAAGTTGTCTAACTGAGAGAACCCAGAGTATGCAGGACATAGTTCAGGGTTTGTAGACAAGCATTAGCAAATTCAAAGACGCAAGACCAACTCCACTTGTGAGAGGCTATCTGAACTCCAGTAAGCTTCTTTCCCCTCTTCCGTGGTATATAACATCGCAAAAAGGAGGGAGTTGAGAGGCCTCTGGGCACTGACTACATTGGGCACTACAGGTCATTTCCAGGGGGCACTGTATAGTAGTTGTGAGCTTTAAAGAACCTGACACCTCCAGGCACTTGAGAAAGGGCAGCTCATTCCAGGTTTGTTCCATTTTAGTTTGTTCAGTCCTTCTTAGAAAGGCCAACTGTATTTTGGAGCATTGAACCTCAGCCCTCGACAATGCAGGCCAGGCACGTGGCAGATGCTAAACAGTTATTCCCAGAGATGTCAGCCAAAAGGCCAAAGAGTGGAGGCCCGTTAATTCTTCTCTGAAGCCCAATTAGCTTGTCACAGCTGACAGATGATGGATGGATATGCATCAGTCCAGGTGACATCACTTGGCCAGTTCTTTCCCTCCATCTGTTGGGGGTGGAGGGCTCCCTCCTTGCTCCATTTCTCTACCTAGTTGTTCTCCTTCCCAGACCCCATTATTACCTACATACTCACCATCACAGAAATGTGGAGGATGTGCATCTGCTCCTCTACAATCTCGGAGGGCTCCTGGAGTGTGGGGGCAGTGGCCCGGGCCAGTTGCCCAGAACTGCTCATGGAGACGTGGAAGTACAATGTGCCGTTTTCCAGCCACTGCTGTCTCCAGTGCACCAGTGAGATATCCGCCGCTGTGCCAGACATCTCTGTAAGACAAGACCAAGGTACTGGGTGAGCTACATGCCTGGCTCTAGTGCTTTGGGAAAGAAAGGAGCCACATAATGTTACCCTATCTCCTTATAAGTGGATGCCTTCCCTTACACCAGCTCCATGGGGAAGAGGGGCAGAAGTAATATTTGAACCCAGTGTGTCTAGTACACTGTTATTATAATCTCACACACAGAAAAGTAATTCTCCCCATTCAATAATAGAATGATAAGAAACAAAAGGGGAAAATCATACCATTCTTCTGAGGCTATACAACAAAAATAAATAGAGGAATGAAATCCATCAGAGCAATTGGAGTTCAGGTATGGTCTTTAGGAGCAAAGCTGGGAAATGAATCAGAATCTAGCTCAGCCAAGATACCTATGGTCATACATAAGGAACCCGAGAAAGCCAGTTAATCTGAGTCATTTTCCTGCATTGACAAGAGTAATTCCATTCCTGATATTTTATATACTGTATTCCCAAGCAAATGAGCATTGACACAGAAGTTTATATTGCTTAAAAAGTCACTCAGCCATTCCCTAACTGAACTAGAGGGAATCTAGGCCTTCCTAGAAAATGGTTAAGTCAGATTACCAAACCTGAAGATCTTAGCTCTTATCTCTGTGCTGCTTTTCCCTCTGTAGATACATTTGTATTTTATTTTTTTTAGTTCAACAAATTTTTATTTATTCTTATGTATTTATCCTTATTACCATTAAGTAATTAAGAAGTTGCCACTTAACAAAGAAGTTTATGAATACCATATATCTTGATCAATGTCACCCCTTTTGATGTTCTCACCCACCCTCCCCTACCCACCCCATTCCTTACTCTTCTTAATTTTGTAGGATACACATTGGATTCTTGATGGCATTCTCTCCCTTTCAAACATGGTATTTATGATCACCTGATTAGCATTCATATTCAGTATCATCATACCAATATAGTTTCTTAGGTATCATTACTTGAGATCCCACAATCATTTCCTAGTGGCTTCTAGGAAAGGGATGTGTTCCTGGAACCATCTACAAATGCCTTTGATGAACAAAGGGGCAGTGTAATGGGGTTCATGGTCTGTAATAGGTCTGTACTCAAATGAGACTTAGGCAGAAAAGTAGCCTTCATAGTGTCTGGCAACAGGAAAGATGCCTTTGTAGGCTTGGCACTTTGGACCCTCTTCCTGAGTTAAGGGAGCTTAAGACAGTACTCCTACAGTTCAAAAGACATGCAAGTTCCCTCATGTGCATGCATGCATACCCACACACACCATCTCTCTCTCTCTCTCTCTCTCTCTCTCTCTCTCTCTCTCTCACACACACACACACACACACACACACACGCATGAGTACTGAAGAGAGGCCAAGTAAGAGCCTCTTCTTATTCGATTAGCTCTTCCCATGCCTCACCAAAGCTCTTACCATAACCATTGACAATGAAAGAGTCACCTTGCAGAGATGAAGAGGTGATATTTCCTCATCAGGCTCTATAGCATCATTTAGGTGGTCTCTTCCCAACAGACCCTAACTCGTTGGGGATTACTTTCAAAAACCCTCAGGAACAATGTCTGGGACTTAATTAGTGCTAAGAAAAAGTGAGCTATGAATTTTTAAATTAGCTATTGATTTATCATCATCATCATTAGTAGCATGGACAAGTTCTAATTCACTCTTCAGCTACCCTGAAAAAAAAAGAAAATGCAGATCCAGTCTTGATGGCTTGCTTTCTTCTCTCCCACTTTTCATCCAGTCTGTCAGGAAACCCTTCAAAATCTTCCAAAATTCAACTCTTTGGAGCTCCTTTAACCAGCTCCGTGGGCTAAGGCCCCATATGCTCTTTCCCGTATCCTTCAAGGGCTTCTTAACTCAGCTGTCTCCTCCTACCCTGGCCTCCTCTTTCTATTCTCAGCCAGAAGCCAGAGGAATCCTGCTGCAACTGAAATCATCTCACAGTACTGACCTCTCCTCTCTAAATCCTTCCAGGGCCTTCCACCTCATTCCAAGTAAAAGACAGAGTAACCAGACACAGTAAGTTATTGGTTCAACTGTACACAGGCTTGAGCTTTCCTTGCTGCTTGATGGATGGAACACAGCTGGTATTAAAATTCATTGACTCTTAGAGCCCTGGAATCCAAAGGACCTTGAGGCTCAGGCTCACTGTGATGGTCCAGGATGAAGGTACTGGCCAGTCCTTCCTCAGCATCTTCTCTTCCTCCTGGGCTGGCCTGACCTGCTCCCTGACCCCGCGCCTCCCTTTCCCCAGCTCCCCATATACACACTTTATATTCCAACCTTAGCACCCAAGGCACTAGCAGAAAGTACTCTGGCAGCCAGCCAATAGGATTGCAGAAAGATGAAAGCATTATGGTAAATGGCGTTGCTCAGTGCCTCACTTATTTTTTTTCTTAGTGCATCAAAGCCCTAAACCAGAGAGCCAGGGTTCAACTGCCACTAGAAATAGTAGTGTCTAATTCAGGAGCACAAGGCTGAGCAGGCAGCCACTGAATGTGCTTGGTCCCTAGAATGACAGGAAAAGAAAGCCTCAAGGCAGACCACATCTGCCTGGCTGACACAGCCTGGTATAGACAGAGGCAAAGTACATCAAGAGAGAGTTGTACAAGTCCAGGCTCTTTCTCTTGAAGCTCTGTCTAGCCTATGCCTGAAATCCCATCAGTGAAGAACTTTACCATGCCTGTGATTCAATTAGAAAGCAGAGTTACTGAAGGTTAGTGACTCATTCAAGGTCACTGGTGAATCTGTACTCAGATGGACCCAGTAGATTTCCAGTCAACACCATTTCTAGGATGCCAATTGCCCTGGCAATGTCTCCTTTTCCTTGACTAAATTAGCCCATGAACTAAAACTAGATTGAGCTCTTTGTTTGCTACAGCGATGAGTGCACAGTCAGCAGACAGTAAACGTTAAATGATAATAACAGTGTGTGAAACACAGTAAATATTGAATCACAGAGAATGGCTCCGGACTTACTCTATTACAAAGAAAAGAAACTGTTGTTGGGGCAGCAAGTAGGGAGGGAGCAGGAGAACACAAAGAGAAAACTGTTTCAGTAGACGCAGAAGGCTTTGATCATTCATTCATTCTTTTATTCATACATGCAGTCATTTATCAATCAGTATATTTTATCAAGGACCTAACTCAATTCCAGGCCATTTAGCAATTCGGCCTATAGAGTTAAATGAAACCTGTCCTTGCCTTAAGGGAACTCAAAGTCATTCAGCAGCAGAAATTGTACCCAGCATGCTGCCTCCCAGCCACATGTCTGAATTGGCATACATGCAAACTCTCTGAGGTTGTGAATTATCTGACCTGTCTCCCACCAAAGCTCCTTTAGTGCATGTGCTCTCCTCTCAGGCCTTACGACCATTCTCTCAGGGCCTAGCACTTTCTGTCCATTTCCTTGCAACTTTTCCCTCCTGGATCTAGTGTCTTTGCCCGAATGGTACTTGCCCCAAGCATCCGTGTCTTTCTATCCTAGCTAAAGTAGTCCTCTCCAAGCAAGGCCCATCTCCATGATATGTCCTTTACAAAAACGTACTTATCGCTTAGAAATACATTATATGGCTGGGATTACATAGGAGGCTGAGAGGTGAGAATTGTGGTTTGAAGCCAGCGGGGGTAGGCAAGTCTACCATACTTGTATCTACAGTTTACCACCATAAAGCTAGAAGTGGAGCTGTAACTCAAGTTCTAGAACACTACAGAGAAAACATTTCAGGAAAAAAAAGCTAATGGACAGTGCTTAGGTCCTGAGTTCAAACCCTCGTATTGGCATGAGGAAAAAGAGCAAGGGGGAGGGAGAGAGAGAGAATAAATGCACCATATATTTACTTGAATGGGTGTGAATTGTCTGTCTCTCTGGGAGAACAGGAGGAACCTTTCATATTTTATTTCTTCTCAGGCACTTTGAAAAGTAAGTGACAAAAACTAAACATCAATGACTCAGACTTTCTATCCTAGCTACTCAGAAGGTTGAGATCTGAGGATCATGGTTTGAAGCCAGCATAGGTAGGAAAGTCCATGAGACTGTTATCTCCAATTGACCACCAAAAACAAAACAAGCTAGAAGCAGAGCTATGGCTCACATGGTAGAGTGCTAGCCTTGAGCAAAAAAGCTCAAGGACATTACCCAAACTCTGAGTTCAAGCCCCAGGACTGGCACAAATAAATAATAATAATAATAACAACAACAACAGATTTCTGTATAAGTATATATGTGTATGTGTATGTATGTGTATATATACATATGTATGCACACAAACACACACACACACACACACACACATCTATTTCCATTGTAGGAGGTACAAGTAAAAATATGAACATTCAAAAAGTATTAAGTCTTAGCTTGGCAGTGGTGGTTCATGCTTGTAATCCTAGCTACTCAGAAAGCTGAGATCTGAGGATTATGGTTTGAAGTCAGCCCCAGCAGGAAAGTCCATGAGACTCTTATCTCCAATTAACCACCAAAAATCTGGAAGTGGTGCTGTGGCTCAAAGTGGTAGAGTGCTAACCTTGAGGGGGGAAATAAAGCTCAGGGACAGTGCCTGGGCCCTGAATTCAAGCTCCATGACCACCCCCACCTAACAAAATGTATTACATCTCATTAAAGAATTTTTTAAAAATTATAAAGTTCTATTGGGAACTCAAGAATGGGAAGTGATCCTCTAAGCTTGCAGACCAAGAATGATCCCCAAAACACTGACAAGAACACTGTGAAAATGGACTTACTGATGTACATCAGAGGATGGAAGATCACTGGGGTGGTGGCCCATAGGATCTGCTGCCTATGCATGCAGAAGTACAACAGAAGGAAAGGTTAGAAATGAAGCTCCAACAATAATATATACTTGTATATATATACATATATATGTATAAAGCACATATATTTACATGTATATATGCATATATACATATGTATACACATATATACACATATGTACATAAATGTAGCTCCAACAAAGACGTGGGGCTTGGAATGC